GTAAACTGTTTTTTTAGTTCCGTAACTGGACCCTTTATCATTTTAGTTCCGTAAGTGGAGTCTGTCGTAAACTAGTCTAATAAGTGAAAAATTCTCTGTTTTAGTCTTCCGACACCGGAGACGCCCGCGTGGCTCGCCGGAGGTGACATGTCCGCCAGGTGTCCCACCAGGTCAGCGACACCTGGTGGAACACGTAAATTTCTTTTCTTTTTTTTTTTCATTTTTTTAATTTTTTTAATTGGACCAAATAAAAAAATACAAATAAATTTTAAAATAAATTTTAAAAAAGTTTTAAAAAATAAATATAAAAATCTGACCAGGCGGACACGTCACCTCCGGCGAGCCACGCGGGCGTCTCCGGCGCCGGAGGAGTAAAACAACGAAAATTTTTCACTTATGGGACTAGTTTGCGACAGGCTCCACTTACGGGACTAAAATGATAAGGGGGTCCAGTTACGGACTAAAAAAATAGTTTACCCGAATTGTATATTGTACTGATATCAACATATATATTGCTAATGAAATTATTAATATGTTACGCTATATGTTGTATTAACATTTGTTGTATGGGTATTAACATTTGTTGTGTGGGGGTTATATACTGTGTTGTCATGTATAATATGTTTATTGTGTTGAAATCAAAATATATTATTCTGCATTTAATCATATAATATGCTATCAAAATATGTGATTAAGGAATAATAATTATAAATATATGTCGATTGAGTCAAATCAATACGTGTTATTTGTAATTATACTCCCTTCGTCTTAAAACAATAAGAATATTTGGAATGAGCACGAGAATTAAGGAATAATAATATTATATTGACAATGAGTGTAAAAGTATTTTTAAAAGATAAAAATAACCCTAGTTTATGTAATTATTGTGAAAAAGTGGGGTAGTTTTGTGAAAAGGTAGATAAATAGCTAAAAAAAAGAGAAGAAAACGAGGGCTGTTTGGTTCATGAACTTTTTTTGTGGGATTGGGATTTCATAGCAGGATTTATATGTGATAGGATTTATTATATTTAGGATTTGGAATCTTTGTTTGGTTGGTAAAATTATGTGGGATTTATATTTCTCACGTCTTGTTTGTTTTTTATTTGAGTAGAAGGATTTGGATTTTTTATATTCTAAATGACATAATTGTCCCCTTATGAATTTTATTTATTTTGATAAATCAAACATCTAATTTATAATAAATATAAATTGAAAATGTATTAATAATTTTATAGGGATTACAATAGGTTATCGTAAACTCGAAACCCGACTCGAACCCGACCTATTTATTTGAAGTTGAGTCCAATTATTTGAGTATTAAATCTTGATCCGGGTGATAGTATGGGTATTCTAATCGGATCCGAATCGGGTCTAGGGTCTAAGCGGACCATACCCGCACCCAGATTTGATTTATAATATTAATAATATATCGACTATACATATAAAAAAATAATTTCTAACAATATAATTATATTAATTTTTTTAACTTTAATTTATTTATTATTTTATAATAATAATTTTTTTCATAAAATACATAAATAATATATATTGGGTCGGTACATGTGTAATTTTAAATTAAAATTTATGAATCGTAAAAAATTGAATTTGTTAGATCCATCGGATTTTACAGGGTATAGTTTTGGCTAGATTTGGTATAATCAGATCCAATTTTGATCTAAAGTCTAACAATATATATATTCGGGACATATCTAAGTTCCGGCTGAATCCGACTTATTGTCATTCCGATAATTTTATAATTTAAATAAAATTTATAATAAATAACAATTTAAAACAATGAATTTATTAATTTATTTAAAAAATATTTTACCATAAAAAATAATAGTATTAATTTAATTTAATATATAATTCAAATAAAAATTAATTTTAAAATTATTTAATTTAATTTTATATAAATATATTTATAATATATAATATATTTTTTTATATAAGGATATAAAAGTAAAATTTAAAATCTCATAGAATGGGATTTAAAAGTAATAGGGGTACCCCATTACTAATAAATCCCTCATTTGTAGGATTTTGAAGCATGTTTTTAAATATCATTTTAAATTTCATTATCTTTTTTTTAACAAAACATGGATTTTATGGGATTTTAAAATTCAAATCCATGAAATCCTATCAAATCCTTGAGACAAAGAGCCCCTGAAACTATTATTTTAGGACGAACAAAAAAAAATAAAAATAAAACTATTAAATGAGAGAAATAAAATATAATTTTCTATCAAAAAAAATATGGTATATATTATATTAATGTGCTTTTTTTTTTCTTTATAAATATGTGTTAATTAAATCAAATCAGCACCAACCAACATGATAATTAAAGCATATATATATATATACTCTTTATGTCATTCAGTTTATTTTTTATTTTTGAATAGTTATAGAAAAAATATTATCATTTTTTTTGGTAAAAAAAAAATACATCATATATATATTTTTTATTATAAAAAATAAAAAGTAACCATTATTATTTATTTTTTTATTAAAACTTACCAAATATTTACGCATATAATTAGATGACTAAAATTTATGCAAGTATAGCTGCCCAATAGCTGTAAGGACAAAATTAAAAATCCCTTTAATAATTTTGTCTCTGTGAGCAACTTATGTATTCAATTCATACAAAATTTAATTAATGTTTTTTTCTTCCAATTAGACACATTTGTCATGTAATGATTTGAAGACAATTGAATACTCTCACGTTTCAATACAATAGTCCTGTTTACCATTTTGATCCGTCCTAAAACAATAGTCTCATTTCCATAAATAATCGTATCACTATAAAACAATCATTACTTTTTCATTATTATTACACAATTGCCACTATTTTTTACACTAATACAGTCACAAGGGCAAAAAAGTTTCTTACCCGTACTTTTTATCCACTACCAATATAATATCAATATTCCTTAAATTTCATGTTAAATATAACCCAGACTATAATTTTGGAATGGAGGGAGTATTATTTATCAACTGCTACACATAATTGTGTGATAGTAATAGTAATTAATTAATAATTAATTAATTATATATATAGTTGTCTGGGAATTGGTATTTTTGCAGCCCTAATTAATTGAGCATAAAGTTATGGTGTTTATTAATTTTGGTCACTAATTAAGTATTTAATTAATTGTGTTTAGAATTTGATTGCTTTGTAAGACAGATTTGGCAGATATAATTATGGAATTTTGGTGGAGAAATTTAATTGTGTTATTGAAATATTGGTGGAACAGTATTTAAAAAATAAATAAATAAATAAAAGACAAAAGACAAAAGAAAACAAAAGAAAAAGTCTGTTCTTGCATTTTTTATTTTTTATTTTTTTTTATAGTATATTGTGACAATAAATTTTATATTTCAATGTAACTTTCTTTTCATTTAATTAATTAATTAATTTTGCAGCTCCACTTCTTACACATCCGTACATGCATTATCTGCTAAACATATATATATATATATTCACCAGATGTTATTTCTAAAAAATTATAATAATTAAATAAATAGGATAACAGTTATATTATATTCTTCTTAAGATTTAAATGTATTTATTTTTATTGAATAGAATCTTATTCCCTCCGTCCCGACTACGGTGTTTCTTTTATCTTAGACACGAGAATTTACGGAGAGTATAATTAGTAAATAATTAATAATTTATTAATAAAAATTAACTATTGTATAATAAAAATAATTTTAGATTAAAGTTAAGATAATTAATTATTTCTAATTAAAATTTAAAATTTATACATTAAACTATATAATTTTTTTTAAAAAATAAATGAAAGTGGAATGTGATGATATTCTTTTAAGAAAAAGCAATACTCCCTCCGTCCCCAATACAATAGTCTTGTTTACCATTTTTGTCTGTCCCAAAACAATACTCTCATTTCCATAAATAACGATATTACTGTCAAGTTATCCTTATTTTTTCATTATTATTCACAATTGCTACTACTTTTTTACACTAATACACTCACAAGGACAAAAAAATCTTTTGCCCGTATTTTTTACCCACTACCGTGTCAAACACAACCCAAACTATAGTTCTGATTTGTAAAAATATTTTTGCAAACACAATCCAAAATGGTTACTTATATTCATGCCATGAAACGTAATTCTAAATTGGGTACCAAAGTACTGAGATAGAAAAAATAAAATAAAATTTACACCATATATGGTTTATTAATATTTTTAGCAGACAAATAAGGGCATCAATTAATTAGCTTAATTTGTACACAAATTATTTTAAATATATATAATTTGATATGAAGGACATATAAAATAAAAAAAAGTACAGAAAACCAATCATATTCTCTCTACTTGTCGGCCAAATTGGATGATTTTTATTCCCAAAATGATAAACCATCCATTCTTAACTAATCCACCATGTTTGGGTAAAATTTATTTTTGATGATGATAATAATAATAATAATAATAATAATAATAATAATAATAATAATAATAATAATAATAAGTGTCAGGAATGTTGAAGAAAAGATTGAAGCTTGGTGTTGGTTGTCGTTTTTGCTGACTAAAAAATTTCTTCAAATCAAAACCTAAATATATTTCCATTTCAAGAATTGTTCATAACATGCAACAATGTATGTATTGTACTTGAAAGCTTCTGCCTTTTTATTGCTTGTTTGAACCAATTTGGAAAAAAGTATGTCACATTTTATTGCAAACCAAGAATGTATACATATATATTTTTTTATTTAGGGAAATTAATTAGGGCTTTTTGTCTCTATGTCTGCCTACCTGCAAAGTGCCACAAATCTTGTCATTGAAATGACACCACTATATGACTATATTCAAAATTAAATTAAACCCTAATTTTTTATTTTTTAAGCCAATAATTGTTGTGATGAAATTGAATTGAATGGCAGCAAATTTGTTGGGCATGATAAAAAGGGGGAAAGATTTTGCAGAAATTAATGGAAATGACAGGAGAAGAAATAATTCATATTGGAAACAAAAATTAAAATGAAAACACAAATAATAATATTAATATCTGATTCTGAACTGTTACTGATCTCATAGTGCTAATAGTAATTTTCTACCACTGATACTGATGCACTGTTCTTGATTTTTTTTTTTTTTTAAATTGAAGCTCAGTAATTTCAAACATGGCGATATTATTAACCCTAAAAAAGTCGTACAGATGCAAAGGGGGATAATCAAATTAGGGCATATATATATATATATAAAATTTGGGGGAGATTATGCATGGAAATTGATAAGCTAGCCTTGACCTGGAAGCGGCGGCGGTGGGAGGAGCGCGGCGGCGGCGGCGGCGCCGGCGGAGGAGGAGGAGGGATGCTGCGGCGGGGGGCGTTTCCGTTTCTTCTTCTCGTAGCTAATTCCTCTGGCCTTGGACTGGAGGTCCCGGACCTCGCGGAGGTAGAGGCGGACGGCGCGGGCGCCGAAGGGGTTCGTCTCCGGCTTGCCGCCGTTCTCCTCGTAGGCGGCGCGTAGGCGGCCGATGAGGGCGTCGAGGCTGCCCCAGGCCTGCCGGAGCGGGCAGGGGCAGGGCGCCGGCGGGTTGGGGTGCCCGTAAAACGGGCAGATCGAGGTGTGGACCTTCGTCTTCCCGAACTGATCCAGGTAGCGGAGGAATTCCAGCACGTGCGCGCCGCTGCACCGGCTGAGGCTCAGCGGCGGCCGGTGGTTCTTCAGGTACTGTCCGAAGGTGTTCCAGTCGCGCCGCTTCTGGTTCTCGTAGCGGCTCAGAGTCGTCGAAGAATTAGGAGAGGAAGAAGAAGAAGTTCCGCCGGCGCCGGCGCCGGAGCCGGCGTTCATGCCGCTGCTCTCAGAATTGGAGCTCTCCACATCAAACGACGCCGTATCCATATTTTATTAATAATTTATGAATTATTAATTCCACCCCTCCCTAAATACCTCCAAATTTTCAATAAATCCCCAAATCAAATTTCTAGGGTTTCAGATTCAGGTCCAGATCATTCACAAAACCAGAATTTATAGAACTGATCTGAACAAACCCTATTCCCCACCTGCAGATTCAGATTGAACAGATGATTGGGTTAGAAAGAGAAACAGAAATAGAGAGAGAGAGAGAGAGAGAGAGAGAGGCAGCAATCAATCCACAATCATACAAATTTACAGAGGCAAAAAGGGGAAGAAGAACAGCAAGAATCTTGATTGATAAGTGAAGAGATCGCCATTTTTAGTGGAGAAATGGGCGAGCAAAGAAAGAGTTTTCTCAATGTTAAATAGGGTATATCCATCAAGTTTTTAACTTTATAATTTTATTTTATTTTTCAAGTTAATTCATTATAATATTCTGATCTCTATACATTTCAGATTATTTAAATTCTTTTTTCCAAAATAAGGTAAACAATTTAAATAATAAATAATTACTACCCTGTTCATTCCAATTGGGATATAAAAAAAGATTGTGAACCCTACTGTTTTAGGGCTTCCTGTGGAAAATTAAAGAAAATAGTACAGACGGTAATAAAATAAAACATAATAAAATATATACCAATTTGCAAATATCCTCCAATAATATTGCAAGATTTTTGATGAGTAATACAACATTAAATCATATTTCATTAAGACATAGGGTTATATATACAATCAAGATCCAATCTTTAGTTATAGAAAATCTTTCTTTAGGATTAATGTAATAAATCAATATATTATTACAAGGGCCTTTTTATTATTTTTCTTTATGTCTTTAAATTTCTAAAAAAAATTAAATCTGAAATTAAATTGGATTATTGGTGCACAAAGTGCAGCTGCCAAACAACCTAAGATTGATAGAGAGAATAATATATATTATTAATTGACAGGTGACTAAATGGCAATACTAAGGAAAGCACTGTAGAATGATGATGAAGGAAGACTTGACAACAGTTGGAATTTCTAACAAGAGGATCAATCAATTTCTTGCTTGTAACATGTCCACCCATTATTGGGACCTCAAATTTATTCAAATTTTATTTTATTTTTTTAAAAATTTTTATTACAATTATTAAGTGTTAATATATATATATAAGGGTTTGTTTGTGTGAGTCTTGTAATGCATAAAAGAACAAGCACTAACACCAAATTTATAAATTAATTAGGGTTAGGGATATTCTCAAAGAATTTTCAAAATTAGGGTTAGGTTTTATTTTTTAGTTTTGGTTATTTTTTTCTAAGTTAGAATTGTAAAAATAATTAACTAACTAGTTGATGTTGATTGTGTATTATTTGGTGTAGAGAATGTGTTTTGTCCGTTGAACAATATGAAGAAACCATCCATAATAAAACTTAGAATAAATGCAAAATAAATAAGCAAACAAAGAAAATATTGATCACTTTTTGGCTTAGTTTGTAGGTTTTTACCCTAACTTTTACTATTAATAAAACAAGAAAATTAAAAATCAAATCAATTTTATTTTTTAAATTTTTTATATTATATTAAAATTTAATTTTAAATTCAAAAGATTATATTAATTCTATTTGTAACATATCAATAATTATTTTAATTTCGAATTTTACTATTCAAAACTCAAATCACACTGACAAACAACCCAACCATAGTCTTTTTTTTTTTTTTTTTTTTATTTAATTTGAAGTTGTTCCAATGATAAGGGTAAGGGATTTGTTTTTATGTTAAAATTTGTGTGCTATGTTTTATTTATTTATTTACATGTTTTATACAATTTGAGGTTTACAAGAATTAATAATAGTTGATAACATTAAAGATTATTAATTATAGAGGTTATTAGATTCGGGTTTACCTATATTGTAGATCGTACAAGTCTAATTATCCTAAAAATATTTTTTTAAAAAATTAAATAACCACATTTCAATGCTTAAGGCCGACAATATTCATCGCACTTTTTTGAATTATTTGTGACAAAATTGAGAATTGTAAATTTTTTTCATTATGTCAAATATAAGGAATAGGTCTATAGTTTGCGCACACGTAGGGTATATTTTTTATTTTATTTTATTTTAAATAAAATTTAATATTTATCATGTATGATTTTCAATAAAAATATATTATTCTGCTCTATTAGTGATTATGAAGACTTTAATTTTACGCGACAATGTATCGAGAAACTTGTAATATATATTAGCATAAATTAAAATTACACAAGAAGGCTGGTTTAAACTTTAATTGTAAGAGAAATTTTTTTCTTTAACTGAAATATAAAAAATAAAAAAAATAAATGAAAAATAAAATATTTGTAATGATGTTATTTATATGATGGCAATGTATTATCCTCGATGATGCTATACTTAGGAAATTCAAACAAAGAATCCAATTGCCCTAAAAACATATGTTATGTGGAGAATATTTGGACTTTTAGTTGAAAAACTTATCGGGTATGTTTTTCCAGACCTGGATTTGAATTCGGGGTTTGAATTGTGATTTTAAAATAATGAATATTTTAATTTAAAGAATATTTGATGAGTTATTTTAAATGAAAAAAATAATATTTTTTATGTAATATATTAAATAAAGATTAGATATTAGATTTAATAGTTTTTGAACGAAAATAATAATAATAAAAAAAAATTATAGTCGAAGTATACACATATCAAAATAGTTTGTTTAATTTTTATTTGAATTTTCGGTTTTATTTTAATTGTAAATTAATAGTATTTTGATGTGTTGTTTTATGAGAAAAATATTTTATTTTCTTATTGAATATCGAACAAACTAAATGGCGTTGATTTTAGTTCGAAATCTAAACAAAGATTATATAGAGATATTATAAACAATATGGAGAGCATATGAAGTGTTCACTTGGGAGATTTTACAAAAGTTTCCATTAAATACTTATTTTTTATTTTTTATATTACATTAAATATTAATTATATATTCAGATATAATATCAATTTCTATTTATATCATATCGAATAACTAATTAAATTAAAAAATTTACTTTCTAAAATTTATTATTCAAAATTCAATCTCCGAACAAACACCGGTTTTCATTTAGTTTTTTCTTTTCTTCTATTTATTAATTTATATAGAAAAAATATCAAAGCAAAAATATTCATAAACAATACTTACATTTGAGTTCCTCCAAAAATATTTTCACCCTTTTGTTCATAAAAAGTTTAATTATTTTATCATTTTAATTTATGCATACAAAATATTTTAGGGTAAACTATTTTTTAGTCCCTTAAGTGGAGTCTATCGCAAACTAGTCCCATAAGTGAAAACTTTTCGTTTTTTTAGTCCTCCGATGCTGGAGACGCTTACGTGGCTCGCCGGAAGCCACCTGGCGGACACGTGGATTTTATTTTATTTTTTTATTTTTTTTTCAATTGGACCAAATAAAAAAATAAAAAAAGGCAAATAAAATTAGAAATAATTTTTAAATAATTTTTTTCAAAAAATTAAAAAAAAATGAAAAAAAATAATAAAATTCACGTGTCCGCTAGGTGTCGCTGACCTGGCTAACACGTAGCCTCCGGTGAGCCACGTGGGCGTTTCCGGCGCCAGAAGACTAAAACAACGAAAAGTTTTCACTTATGGGACTAGTTTGCGACGGACTCACTTACGAGACTAAAATGATAAGAGAGTGCAGTTACAAGACTAAATAAACAGTTTATCCAATATTTTAATACTACATCTAGTAATAAAAAACCAATTTTCTTTTAGATTTATACCAATTATATTTTTTAGATATTTATACTATTGACACTAATAAACTTCTTACGTATATTTTTTACCTTCAATTTATTTTAATTCAAAATTTACATTACTAATTCTATTGAAATTACAATTTTACCCATACAAGCTATAGAAACAACATTATAATATTATTTATTTGGAAAAAAATCATTTTTAGTCTCAATATAACCAAAATTCATCAATTTTGGTCCCAATATAAAAATTTTATCAATTTTGGTCCAAATATAACCAAAACTCATTTTTTTGTCCCAATATAAAAATTTTATCAATTTTAGTCCTAATATAACCAAAACTCATCGTTCTTTGTCCCAATATAATCAAACCTTCTCTTTTGTTGGTCTCAATATAATCAAACCTTATCTTTTTTGGTCCTACACCGTCAACAAACCGACAGAAAATGCTGACACGAAAAGAAATCAAACCTTATGTTAGAAATTTTGGGGAAAAATAATGAGATTATCTTATTGATCAACAAAATAAGGAGCCTATATATAGGCAATACCAAACAGACTCGATAGACTCAAATATAAGTAATCTAATCTATGAATAAGATCAAATCTAGATATAAATCTACTAAATCTAAAACTGAATATCTAAAATATCTCAATATCCCCTCAAACTCAAGTGGTATAACAGAAACCAATTTGAGTTTGATAAGAAATTTGAATATAAACGCAAAAAGGAAACATAAATAAAATTAGCAGCTGACTCTCCACCCACCGAAGCAAAAAATGAGATGACTCTCCACTAAAGTCGAAAATGAGATGATTTTCCACCGGAGTCGAAAACGATGTGACTCCACCGAAGCCGAACACGAGATGACTCTCCACGGGAGCCGAAAACGAGATGATTCCACCAGATCTGAAAACGAGATGATTCCACCAGATCTGAAAACGAGATGATTCTACCGGAGCTGAAAACGAGATGACTCCACCGGAGTCGAAAACGACATGACTTCACCGGAGCCGCCGAAAACGAGATGACTACCGGAGCCGAAAACCACATGACTTCACCGGAGGCGAAAATGAGATGGCCGAAAACGAGATGACTCCACCGGGGCAAAAAACGATATGACTTCACTGGAGCCGAAAATGACATGACTCCACCAGAGCTGTAAATGAGATGACTCCACCGGAGCCTAAAACGAGATCACTCCACCGGACCTTGAAACGAGATGACTCTACCGGAGCCGAAAATGAGATAACTCCACCGGAGCTGAAAATGATATGATTCTCCACCAGAGCCGAAAACGAAATGACTCTCCACTGGAGCCGAAAACGACATGACTTCACCGGAGCCGAAAACGAGATGATTCTATCGGAGCATAAAACGACATGACTCCACCGGAGCCGGAAACGAGATGACTCCACCGGAGCCGAAAACGACATGACTCTCTACTGGAGTCGAAAACGACAGGAGTACTCTCCACAAAATCGTAAAATAACGGGATTCTCATTGCAATCAGAAATATGATTGTGGAGAAACACAGTAGATGGATTGCAGAATCAGACAGATCGCAGACATGACTTCAATCGTAGACAAAATTAGG